ACACACACACACACACACTCATACACACACACACACCTAAGCACACTAAACTGTATTTTCATACCAGTTCAACACATGTTATAAACTTGGGTTAGGTGAGAGCGTATGGCAGGACATTTCTTAAAAATGGCCATGCAGAGACAACAAATAGTAGGCCCAGGATCACGCTGAGTTAAATAATAATGATAATATTCAGTTATTACACCCCCACCTACAGGAGTTTCAAGTGTACAGAGAAGCTAGACGGAATGATCTATATGTTGGTGAAGGTTTTTTATGGGTCTATTCAAAATAAGTGTTTTATTTTAGAGGCGTGAAGAAATATTCGTCAAAAAAATACATTGAATGCATTATGCAAAAGGGAAAATATCATGTATTTCAGGTCGTACTTACCTTTCTGAGGGTAGCTTTCTCAATTTCAAGACAATGTCTTTACGTCAAGCTATATGTGTCTGCGTGTCACTTGCATTTTCAGCCCAAAGCCTTCCCTGGACTTATCCCATTGGTTAACAGATACTTGGACGATCATGGCGGAATTGACATAGAAACCAGATTGGCTGCGAATCGGTACCTTGACTTCATAGGAAAACGAGGGTCTGGTAAGAAATGAAATTAATTTTTACTGGATCATTTAACGTCACATATTAAACGTGTGCCTTTTAATTAGCAAACATAATATTCCTTTGAGCCATTTTCGTTATTGAGATAAAGGCTGGTAAAATTCAACGCAGTGGCAAAGATAAAAAAGCAAGAGCTAAAAAAGGGGGGTTATGTGTCTACATTTTATCAAGTTTTTACTTGGGTAAATCTCGGGAATTCTAATCTTGATTAATATTAGGTTTTAAAGTAAAATTACGTGAATTTTTGGGACTTTTTTATGTACATTACTTTCAATTTGCTATCAACTTTTATAAAAAACGGAATGATATTTTAAATTTGATTTTGTTACGTGTACAATATAAAGTCAAAACAGCCCCCCCCCCCGTCTATGCACATCGTATATGTGTAGTTCATATCAATAAAATGTTAATGTTTACTAAAATCCAAACTAAATACCAGTTTTATTTGTCATTGCAATATAACCATTTATTTCAACAGACATCTAATTTCAGGTGAAATACCAACAGTTGCTAGATGGATGCGAGAGTTTGTGACGTCACATCCAGACTACAAAAAGGATTCCGTAGTCAGTGAACACATCAATTATGACTTGATATCTCGATGCAATGAGATCTCAAGCATGAAATCAAAATAATTATTCTAGAATCACCGAATTGTTTTTCCCCTGACGTCTTTATATTTAAAAGAGGAAATGGTAGTGAACCAAAGGTCATAAATTACACAAAAGCAGCCCTGATAATTGGTATAACATATTGGTCCTCTCTCGCCTCAATTTACATGATCTGTTCTAGTATCAGGCCTACCCAACTACCAGACTCGGCACATAGGGATCCTGAATTAACCGGTATATCGGACCACACTACCCGTTTTCAAGGTGTGTGTCAGATCGCAATTTGGAGTATCATACCCCAGAACAAATTTTGTAGGACGATCGCGGGCTCATCCTGTCGGTGTTCTGACTGATACTCCGAAATGCAGTCTGACACACACCTTGAAAACGGGTAGTGTGGTCCGATATAGCGGTTAATTCAGGATCCTTATGTGCGGAATCTGGTAGTTGGGTAGGCCTGAGTACATTACGCTGCTCTTGTCTCCCCATTCACAGTATTCCTGTATCACAACAAGTCCTCTCTCCTCAAACACATAATTCTTATATCAGTTCACTCCTGTCTCCTCAATCACATAATTCCTCGTTCATATGGTTTCTTTATCCAGGAGGACTCTCCATGTGAAAATCAAATATTTTCTAAAGTTTTTGTAACATTAGTACTAGTAGCTTATGCTTTTACTTATTGCAAGTAACAAGTGAAGTTAAACAATTTTTTTTTAATATATATATATTAATAAAAATCTAGCGAGTTATTAAATGGAATCTTAATTTCTTTAAGAGTCAACAAAGGTGAAAGTTGCTTTCCTGATAGGAAAAGATGGAAAATGTCAAATGCACATGAATTAAGTTTTATTTGATTAGTCTATTTCACAAACACATTGTAGGTTTCTGACATCCGTGAAACGCATGCAAATTGAGTTTTGAGAACAATCCAAGTATGATTATAATTCAAATAGAGATCGCCTTATAAAGAAATGTAGAATGGCGGAATGACAAGTAAAATGGAAAATGCTGGTGATCACGTAGAAGACAATGTAGCGAAAAAAGGAAATACGTACACAGAAATAGAGTATACTAACTCTTGAATTTGTAGGAGAAATTTTGTGAATAAACGTTTGAAAACTCCAACTAGTCGTCGTTACCGTCACTATAAGAGACCGTTCACATGAAAAATTTATTTTCTAAAAATCTAAAAATTTATTGGCGGTATCTTGTGATCACGGTCTGTGCCCTGAATACCCCATGGCGTAATTACTGGCAGCGCGAGCCAGTTACTTCCAAAGCTGTAATTAATTCTCGGCTGTGCTCGTAGGAGATTCTGACACTTTGACGCATGCGCAGTAGTATCTCTAAACTGTGGAGTTCATCAGTTTAGTTGTGACAACTCAAGCATACAGACGCGTAATACGGCTAGTGGTAGTGCTTGTTGTTGCACAAAATCGACAAACACATTTTTCAAAGCAACTGCGACCGTCATTTACTTTCTAACTTCCTACTTAATCGGTAGTACACAGTTGCAAAATCATCAACTGTGGTGACGGAATGTCATGAGTTCAATTCTCACGCGACGCAAGTCAATTGACCACAACGACGACCTCATATTTAACTGTGAGCACTATTCGTTTGGGAATTATATGTTTACTGTAGATAATTCAGGCGTACATTACCTAAATATCATTTCTCAATCCTATTCAATGTTTATCACTTATTTTCTTCATATCTTTTATAGAGGGACTTCCCACCACCAGTCCCCTTCTTTGAAAGCGTCAGTTATTCAGTCCTGCTTGATATAAATCCGATATTCTACCTTTTTTATTTGACCACAGCACAGATTGCGATATGCGGTTATACAGGTAATGCATTGTGCCGCTAGGAGAAAAAAAAGACCATACCTCTTCTAAGTAGCAAGGAACCACTTCAACATGGGCCGATGATACAGATATGAGTAATGGCCACCGGTAAGACCACATGGAGATTTAGAGCGGCGAAACACCCAATAGTACAGTAACGTTTAGCCCTGGAAGTGGCCTGAGTAGGTTACCATCAAGTTCACAGGCAAGTAGAAAGGGTAGTGGAGGATACGCATTCATACAGTGTACAGACACTGTTATCGTCGACCATCTGTCAACAGGAAGGCGCGCTAACGATTCTTTGTTCAGGACGCGGGTGACACATCATGGATGGTTTGGCACAGAATGGAGAAAGGTGGTTGACGGCAGAGGAAATCAGTGACATTTGGCCACGCATTCGCCTCCACGCCGCCCAAGAGTTTGTCGAAAAATACCAGGCGTATAAAAATGAAGCAAAGAAGGGTCTTCTATGGGGTGATGAGGTAGGATATTTCTTAGTGGCCTTAAATTGTGATGCATTTTACATTTTTGGTAAAGATTGATGTCAACCTATCAAAAACAAAGTTACTGGGGTCATATTTCTAAACAACCTCATCATACCTGTAAATGTTATGATCAATCAACATACATTCTGTTGTACGTAATTCATAAAAACAGAGAGTGTGATAATTTTTACACCTAGTTGGCTGTCGAAAACAAGACACCTTGATTGGAAAGTTGTGTTCAAAGCCACAAACTAGTACAACACTATAAGCTAGGTGAATGTGACAACCTCTCGTTGATTCCATTCATGTGTGACATAAACGCGTCTTTGGCAACTTGCATATATATGTAATCCATCTGTTGAGGGAGGGGGTACTGCACTCTTAGCCTCTGAGACCCGTCTCCTGCTTCTATCCCTTTATTCCCTTTGAAAATAATATGACAAACGGAATGAGATAAAGATGAAAAAATGCATCACTTATTGTATACATTAGGGTAAAACTAACATTCAGTTTTATCCATTTTGCTGAAAAGATAAAATTACCCTCGTTCTCTCCCCCTGAGCAATAATCAGGACCCGCCATTGCTTTTAACACTTGGCGGCAATCTGCAAGTGACATACACTCAGGCGTCTCACTCACTCACTCATCTGCATTTTATATACATATATTATATTCAATTTGCTGTGTTATATTTATAACATCTACAATTCATGAATGACAAAAAAAAATAATTGTTTTTATACGCGTGCATATTTGCTGAGTCTACGTCAGAGAGAGAGAGAGAGAGAGAGAGAGAGAGAGCAAGCACCGTTTATGTATAAGTTTGAAGTGAACAAATAGAAGTAATCAAAAAGATGTGGCGTTCTGTGACCAGACTTTCGCACTTTAAAAAACACTTATCAATGTGGACATTGCCATGAGGGAAGAAAAGTTATTTTTTAAAGTTTAGATATGTTGCTCTTTTTGCTCTCCGTGAGTTTTGGTAAAAAAACGAAGACAGTCAATACACGCGTACGGGCAGGAAAAATCGTTGAACATTTTGCCTTTCATGCACTCTGAAATTATTTTTTACATTCATCTATGCTTTTGTCAATTAATTTGTTAAAATGATTTCAAATGTGTTCAGATACATTGCACACATTATAGGAATTAGATATTTCCCTTATTTTCACTCTTTGGTTGAACACTTAATGAATGCACAATTGATTTTTACTCAGTGTTATCTACAAATAAGATTTTAAAAAATCGGCAGCAAGCAACAGAGATTTCTCTACACTCTCGACCTTAAAACTGATTTCTTAGAAAAAATCTTACATGTAATATAGAACTAACGACTTTAGGCTAAAGTAAGAAATGTAATTAGAGATATTTAACAAAAGTTTATGTAAAGAAATAAAAAAAGAAAAAGGTACCCAATAAAATGTATAAAATATACGATATTTTGAATAAAATGCTCTGCCAAAGTGTTGTCGTATTAAAAGCAATAAAAGCTGTATAAGTTTAAAAAATATATTAAAGTTTTTGGATTTAAAGGGATACGGCTACAGGTAAAAGTTACATGAAAAAGTATGGTTTGTTTTTAATGCCCGACGGGGTTAGGTGAAGAAATATCTGGACAGAAACTACGATGAAAGAATTGATAAGGCACAACCATAAAACAGGCGAAATGGACAGACCAAAACCACAAGTCACTATAATAAATGAACAGATAAGCATTGAAACAGGCGCGAACACGTTGGGGATTTCGACTACTTCCGCAATAACGGGTTGTTTACTTAAGTGCCTATCTGAGAGTTTAATTGCACATTCCAGGAACATCAAATAGAGACCATCTTCTAAGGTCACAGCCGGGTAACTACTTTAGGCCAGGCCATATATATCCTTCCTTCCTTTCTTTCTTTCTTTCTTTCTTTCTTTCTGGAGGCAAACCGATGTCATTATGACCTGCAATGCCCGGTGCCAAAATGTTAGCGCCTCTTTCAACACATGTTACATCGCCGGAGCCGAACATTACCATGGGCTTAATAGTCCATAAATTGCTTAGTCGTACTCCTGTTACGTTTAATCTTTTTAACAGTCTGAGAAGAAGGAAAGAAGAACAAAAACAAAAATATACTCAGTAGAAATAAACTAAAATATTTGACCGAATATTGATAGCTCAAGTGTTTCTTTCAAAAGTCTTAGTGGGAAACAGATAATATTACCAGATGTTTCCTTCAAATGATGTGTTCTTACCATAGTGTATGTCTAGGAGTATTTAATGAGGTTTTAATTCAATACATGTATCCACTACATCGTATACATCAAGTCATGGAATAATATTCCATGACAATGAAAAATAAATAAATATAGTACAGATGCCTATTATCACTGTTTAATAATGGGTGCGCTTTATTCTCTCCATATATAGTAAAACATGAACATTTCAAACCCAATGATGGAAATGCATTTTCAAAATGTATTTGTCTTCTTCTACCTAAACAGTCCATCTTACCAAAATTATCTTTAATTGGTAAGTGGAAAGAGAATGACGCTTTTTTCTAACAATCAATCATCAATCATTCAAATAAAATGATAGCCCCGTGCTATAAGCTACAGTGTAGAATAGTACAGTCAATGTGAAATATATCTTGTAGGTCACCGGGTTCGATGTTGTTATGAAAATAATTGCAGCCGGTAGGGAAAGTAAGAACAGTGTATACAATATGTAAAAATATTGTTAGTGAAAATACAAGGGTTTCCATGTATAAATCCATGTACATTTAAAGGGATTAATTAGTGGCTTTCTGAAAGAAAAAAGATGAAAAAAATCTGGCCATAAATTGTGCAACGCGTGAACAAAGATTATGTGCCCAGGCAAAAGGAGGGAACCTTGGGAAGAAATCGTATACGATCTGCGAGCATCACAGTTGAGTGTACGAACCCCTCACCGGTTGTCGTTCATTTATTACTTTTCATACATGTGATTATTACATTTTTGTCAAGCTTCTATGAATATACCGGTAAGTGGATTTTGATGTCAAAAGGTAAACTTTTTCAAAGACCCACCTCTTTGAACGTGCTGACCGCGAACATGTAGAACAATTTATTTTGAGCATACAAGATAACATATCGTAAAAACCTGTAGCCTCTGCTGCCCTAGCCAGTGTAGGGTCTGCAACATTAATACCGTTAATATACTATCTCCACTTGTAATTTCCGAGAAGAACTAAATGCACCTGGGGTAAGCAAGGTAAAGCTGATATTTGTGCAGGGGTACAGTGCAAAGCACGAGAGTATGTCACACGTGTCGGGCACCTTGCTAGCGTGTGGTGCGTGTGACGTGTACAACGGTGAACGGCGAGAACTAACCAGCTTTAGCCCAAATATGGGTCTTAAAGAGATAACAAGCGTTCAACAGCAGAAGTTATTCTTATTATATTGCGCCTATTTAATCACAATGAGAAACATTATTATCATTTCATGTCAACAGCAGAAGTTATTCTTATTATATTGCGCCTATTTAATCACAATGAGAAATATTATTATCGTTTCATGTCGATGCATGCTGTCATTGGATCGGTTGCTAAGAATTAATCTTGACCAAGATATGATTCACGGTTTATATTTGAAACAGCCCCCACACCGGGTGTTATAAGCAGGCAGGGTACACAACTATTATAAAAAGACGGGGTATAGTACTATTGGGATTATGGTCTACGTTTATCGTTCAACACTCTACCTGTGACAAAAGGAAAATGATTAAAAAGCAATCATGCACATCAGATTACCAGTCCTGTTATCGTCTGTATAAAAAAAACTGATGTATTAACACCCTGTCTGATCAATTTTGATTCATTTGTTGGTCTGAATATTCCAGCTCCATACTGTTATGAAATCCATTAAATATTCTTAGGAGATAAAAAGGTGATTCTAAAACCGTGTCGTATTTGACAAAGTGCTCAATATTATATTTGTAATATAATATTACAAATATAATATTATATTATATTTGTAATAGTGCAAAATACTTTCCTAGAAATAAATGAATCATTTTGTAACTTTAGGGTTATATACAGCACAGAAAGAAAGCGGCAATTATCTGTCCAGATGTCATTTATTTTACGAGAAATATGAAACGATGTTCTTTGGAATTTCTTTAAGTTATGTTATTTGAAACCATAAGGTGGGATTTGGTAGTATTTTGTCGCAATGATTTTACAGCCAATTCCCTTCAAATATCTCTTTGTGAAAATATTTATCGGCGGTGTCTTTTCAGGCCAAATTAATTTCCTGTCTTTTTAGACAAAAGCTATAGGCCTTGTTATCCAAAGGAATAATTCAGAAACGCGTTAAGCCACTTCCAAGTCTATAGATACTCAGCGAGTTTTTACTAATTTTTTTTTTCTTTTCAGACCGAATATATCCTATTGCATTTTGACCACGAGAAGAAAACTGTAAAAGTTGCCATTAAAGCTGTTGAGTTGGTGGCCACGTTGAAGAAATCGGAGGAAAAAAGGCAAGCACGCTATCATGGTCTTTTTTTATAATTTATCCTCACTCAAACTCTTTCTTTTTTTTGTGGAATCAACCCTCTCATAGGCCCCAGGGTGAGATCTTGCAATGTTATTTTCTAAGACGCACGAACGCTTTACAGAGGCCTATTCCATACGGTTGCCAAGAGATGCTCTTGGGGTAACATTGAGCTCTTTGGCAAATTCTGTGTGGCTTTCATTTATTGTAAATTTAAATAATTTTCTGTCAATAGACTCAGAACCCTTAACGGTCCCGTCTTACATCTCAAGATTCAGCCATTGGAATGCATGTAGAGGACCCCCTCCCCTTTATAAACACATGTATCATTTACATTGTCAAAATAAGAACAGTATACGTAAGGTCTTTGTATCAATGTGATAGACGGAACATAACAGTATTTCACGAACAATTAATAAGTATAAAATTTATATCTAATTCTCATATCTTTCGTATGGTTAGTCTAACCGACAGTATGTGTTGCTCCTCTCTCCCAGAGATTTCAATCGGTCTATTCAGATGGCTCTATCCTCAGTCTTAACTTTTTACGTAATCTGCTGCATCGTCAGAATGTTAGATTTACAGTTATAAACGCTGCATTAGAATTAAAATGTTAATAATGTGAAATTCGACTGCAAGTGTATTTACAAGTGCATTTACAAGTGAAGCGAAACTATACCAAAAAGACTCTTGAAACATTTGGTCACAGGGCTTTTGAGCTTGCTGAACCAATATTATGCTCCAATTTTATTAACACACCAAATGTGTATTTTAATGACTCTTATCACTGTTAAAAACTAAAACCTCTCTATTTAAATAATATTTTGGCTAACTTTTATCATCTAGTTCTTAATGCTTTAATGTTAGTTTTTAATTTAGTTTAGTAGTTTTAGTTTAATATGTAAATGTTAACAGCCCTGAGACGCACGAGCAGGGGGGTTTCAAGAAATGTTTTATTATTATTATTATTATTATTATTATTATTATTATTATTATTATTTGGTTTTTCAGTCAATGGCAAGACGCTTGGCAGCGGGAATACTCAAGCTATATGGTAGAGTCAGTGCCTTTCAAGCCATATGCAGGAGACATAGAGTCCATAAAATCAGTAGAAAGAAGCATGGCCCAACGGTACGTAGATAAATTTGGCTCTAGGTCCCGGTTTCACTTTCTATCTACCTGTGTCTGTCTGTCTGTCAGTCAGTCAGTCTAAGTAAATTTGTTACTGTATTTTACTGTATGTTTTCGTTTTAATGTGTCTTTTTTCATATTTCTCTAGGAGGCAATTGATTCAACAGGCATTCAACTCGGAAAACAGCTCTGTTATTTCTATTGGAACATTTCCGAGGTACTGTTATTTCATACTGTTCTCGTTCATTTGTAAATGCCAGAATAAACAACACAATAAATATATTTTAACTCGTTACTGCGTGGACTTTATTATAGTCTATACTCATTCAATAGAATATGATTTTACATGTATTATAAATGAACTCAACATCATGTTCTTTTTCTCACAGAACCGGATGTAGAGGTTTCACCTGGCCTTTGCATGCGCCAACTCCCACTTCCGGTATAACACAATCTCTGTTTTTCCCAGATGCGGCAATTACAGGGGGAAGATATAAGTAAGATCGACTTAGAAAACGAAACACTTTATCGGCTGTTTCGTTTTTTATAATTCATGGAAAAATAAATTCGCAATTTTTCATAAGCAATTTTCTGCAAGTTTTCGTTAACCATTGGAAAAAATCGTTTGAATTCAAATCTAATAACTGACATTGCACTGTATACTCGTGTGCATTAATGTATCAGATATAGCTATGTTTACATTTAAACATATCATGTAACATATCAACTAAAATTTGTGTTGACTATATGGTTAAGGTTTATCAAGCCAATTAAACGCTTTTATATTTTGCATGTGTACCAGAATACTCGAAAATAATATGCTACATACTGTACATAAACTAAGTTTTTTATCTGATATACTCAGCGTGTCATAAACTAGACTACAACAGTAAGTATATATGCTTTATATTTACAGTGCAATGGCATTTAACAACAGGCTAAACAGAAGAGGGCGTCACACGGACCATATACCGAGTGCGTAAACACACTAATTTCTGTGTCTATTTTATGTTTATTGGTTATATGTATATCGTTGACTCCTACAGTTGCATTTGAGCATAGATCACCTAATTATATTTACTATCTTACCATGCGTACCTGTCCTGGGATCTCAAAAGTTGAATTCAATTCTTCCAGAGTCTCTTAGTTTTAGCCTCCAACGCTCTTCTCCAGGCGTCTTTTCCAATACTGATTTCAATGTAATGTCAATGTAAATATTATAAATATAGATACTATATAATATACATAAGTTAACAGTTACATTGTGTTTCTCTGCAGTATTTAAAGACGTTCACACTATGGATCCATTTGAAGAAAACCTCTCAAAGTTCGGCGACAAAGGCAAAGCGCAGGAAGAGGCACAGAAGGATACAATCTATATAGACAATGGGATCAGTTTCTTTGGCGCTAGTTGTTCATTGCAACTGACCCTGCAAGCACGTGACTTAGATGAAGCCAGGGCTGTACATGATCAGCTGACAGCTCTTTGCCCAGTGCTTGTAAGATTGTGAAAATTATTTTTCACTTTCGATATATTTGTTTTGATTAATTGTCGATGATCATCAACTTTATGAAAAAACTGTATACCTGAACTGGATGTACGGTATATTCATAACGTAGATGACTACGTGTCCCAATAGGCCAATGGAAACTGACCCCTTGGGATGGTTCACTTTGACAAGATATGGGCCATAGTTTAACATAACAAAATGATGTCATCAAAATTTGCATAGCAAAAATGCTTGATTAAGAATACTGCATATATACTTGTTTGCCCAGAGGATGCCATCTCAAGCATTGTTGATTGAAATGTTATGAATTGTTCCATAGATGGCGCTTAGTGCAGCAACGCCCATTCACAGAGGCTACTTGTCAGACGTTGATTGCCGCTGGCCAATTTTTGTTCAATACACCGATGAGAAAACGCAAGAGCATTTGTGGCAGGTAATTATAGCGAGTATAATTATTACACATTTCTTTAAAAGGTGTTTGCGTTATTGTGCGTCTTTATGAAAACTGAGCACCCCAAGATTCTTAGGATTCTGCTTGAAATGTTATATTGGACAACCATATTTAAATTCCTCTAATTTAAACTGTTAAAAGTAATTTTGCACTGCACGTGGCTTCCTTGGCGTCAAATACATATCTTTGTGTTGTTCTACAGTATTGCTGCCTTCTTCTTGCATATTTGAAAAGTTGATATTTACAGAATAGAAGAACTGGCACCAACAGGACGACAAAATCTCGTATCGACTCCGTGAGTTGCTATGCACAACCTTGTAACTCCTGCTATAACGACGGCCCGATGTTCATGGATGACGAGATCTTTGGGACACTTCTGAAACACGGTGATGTATATAATTAAATCTATTTAGGCGTGCAATACATGGCTTGAATCCACTTAGTAGAATGTCTGTATTTTATAATGAAGAAAAGAGAATGCATTTCCATTACCATTACGAATCCATTGTCTTTGTTACGGATCATACACTCGTAATAATTACAATGAGGCTCGCTATTTATTTATTCATTTATTTATTTGCTGAACGGTTTGTTTTAATTCGACTGCAAAATTTATGGACATAAATATACACTGGTGTTTTATTTAACTCAATACTTAATGGCTTTGTTCAATTTGTTTAAATGCATGCTTTTATTTTCATGTGCACTCTTTCTAATTTCACCAGGGGTGGATGACGCCATGTCTCGTTACGTCACGAACCTGTTCTCGCGAGATCCTTTGGGATTATCTGACCGCCACGTGCAGCAATGTGGAGACAAACGATTCGACTCTCTAAGTCTTTATACGGTTATACCAACAATAACTATTTTAGTAGTTTTACACAAAAAAAAAAAAAAAAAAAAAAAAAAAAATGAATAAATAAATAAATAAATAAATAAATAAATAAATAAATAAATAAAAATAACTTAAAATAAAATAAAATAAAATAAAAAAAATAGTAATATATACAGCATATGCAAATACACAAAGTCTAATACAAAATGACGCATCTTCTTCAATCAATTTTGATTTTTGGATAAAAAACATTTTTCGCACGTACATTGTCATTGGTGACGTCATCAACTGCTAGAAGCTGATGTCTTTTTAACTATCCTTTAACATAACTGCATTATTTTCTCAATACACTATTACAAAGTTTTACTTTCAGATCGTACAAGCAAATAATTACCCGTCTGTTCGGTTAAAGATTCCATCGACGTCAGCCGGCTGGTGTTTGGAGTTCAGACCATTGGACGTACGACAAAAAGACTCTCTCTCTCTTTCTCTCTTTCTTTCTCTCTCTCTCTCTCTTTCTCTCTCTCTCTCTCTCTCTCTCTCTCTGTGTGTGTGTGTGTGAGAGAGAAAGAGAAAGAGAGAGAGAGAGAGTCTGTGTGAGCTTGCATATATATATGCCTGCGTGCGTGTGTGTATGAAACTGATGTGTGCAATTCAATTCATACTCACGGCGTGCAATTAAAAATGCAGAATATAAGATATCAGAATCATGTTTGAAATCATTGATAGAAACTTCAGTTGATTTTTAATAGCTTACTCTAAAGAGAGCAACAGCTGAATTCGAGTTTTGTTGTTGACACTGTTTGCATTTGATTACTTGGAATATTGAAATTGCATGTATGCCCGTCTGGAGAAAGGCTGAAAATGTACCTATACTGTAATAAACTGAAAAAACTACATCTAAGGCATTGTTACAAATTCACAAAAGGAACACAGCCGTAGTAATATCCACCGTATTTGTCTTCTTATTTATAATTTATTTTATTCACTTATCTACTAATATGAATGACAATTTTGTATTCTACAGGTACAACTGACAGATTTTGAAAACGCAGCATTTGCTGTATTTGTGGTTTTTTTGACTCGTGCCCTTCTGAAGTATAATATCAACCTTGCTATACCCATCTCAAAGGTAATAATAATAATAATAATAATAATAATAATAATAATAATAATAATAATACAATTGAAAAACATCTTCTACGTGGACTCCATAAGGTTCATATACAATGTGATAGACTTATTTATAATCATTACTTATTTTTCCCAAAATAATGAAATTATCTTTATGATAATAATTGATTGAGAAAGGTAAAATAACCTGTTAAGATGATATATTATATACAGATATGAATAAACACTTTATCTCTTTAGGTCGATGAAAACATGGGAAGAGCTTCAAAAAGAGACGCAGTGAGATCGAGCAAGTTTTACTTTAGAGACGATATATTTACAAATAAAGGTGACTGTTATCTCACCTCTGTTAACTTGATCAAATAATTATCACATATGTGTTATACATGTTTATTCTCTGACTGAATTTATGCAGAAGATAATCTCTCTCTCTCTCTCTCTCTCTCTCTCTTAACTTTTATTGGTTCAGCTTAGTATCCTTATTTCAGAGCCATTGAAAATCCCAAACGGAATACACCAAACCAACGGCTATGAATTGAATCATAACATGTTTTCTCTGATGACAGCTGATGAAATTTTCAATGGAAAGGTAAAATAATTACCACTCAATAAAACACCTTCACACCAACTAAAAAGCATACATTGCTTCCCGTTTAATGCATATGCAAGGAAGCAGAATAATAAAAGATTTTCCATGAAGAAACACCAGTATAGAAACACTTCATATGGAGGTATTGACATACCAGCCTCTTTTTATGGATTTTTTTTTTTTTTGGGGGGGGGGGCAGAAACCATAATTCTATAATATTTTCTGTCAGTGATTGACATATTTGTATATTATCCATATATTGAATTGAAGTGCTTATTTATTTATATTTTTAAGTCCAAAGTTTTCCCAGGATTAATCCAATTGGTTAACAGATACTTAGACGATCACGACAAGATTCATATTGAAACTAGAGCGACTGCAGCGCGATACCTGGCCTTCATTGGGAAAAGAGCGTCAGGTAAGAATAAATCTTTTCTCAAGAGTAATATGATGATATTATTATCATAATAGAAAACATAATGAACAGAAATATGTATATATATGTATTATGTCTTTGCAAAGTGATACTGTTTGTTATGAGGGTTTCACTCGTGTCGTCAACGTTTTTCCGGAATGTTTGGAGGGCTTGTGTATACGTTGATATATTTATATTTTATTTTTATCACGACAGTGGCTCCATTGTTCAGATTTCTTGTTTTTTAGTTATAATGTTAATATAGCATACACAGTCCTGCGGCAAATGACGAACGTGGTCGTAAATAGCATATTGTTATTATTATTATTATTCCAGGAGAAACGCCCACCACCGCCAGATGGATTCGAGACTTTGTGACGTCACATCCGGACTACAAGAAGGACTCCGTAGTCACTGAACGCATCAATTACGACCTGATGTGTAAATGTCAAGAGATCTCTAACACGAATATGGAGCACATGTTTTGAAATCAGAAGCATTTTTTATTTTTTGCTCTTATCAAACATCTGATTGGCCATATATATTTTTTTTATTCAGATAAGATCTCCAATGTAAACGAATAACGCCTTTGAGGGCAATATTTTAGCACCGGTGCATGTGGATTAAATACATGTATGTCTAGGGTGGATAGTAATAACATGTGGTACCGTAACTCTGCACATGATCCACGTATAGTTGACCGTCCTTCTACCCGTGTCAAACCAGCAGCTCTCCTGCTCGGTAAAGATCCCCAAGTGAAGGCAACATATTGACAAACATGTAACTGTATATTTTTTCGAACATATCGCTTATATAACAGCGTTTATTTATTGTATGGATGAACAATAGCGTATAGAGAAGCATGTGTCGCCGAGCACTACCTCAATGTTTTATTATATAAATTACATACTAAAAACACAAGGCTTGGAAACCGAACCGTCAATATAGTGTGCGGATGCCAGTTTTCCCATTCAGAGACCGTGCTCCAAGTACCCAGAATGCATTTTCTCTATACCAACTCGCTGTGATGAACGGAACCACAATTGCAATTCGCTTCAGGCCTCCTCTGAGGCATTCTTTGTTGTGTCTTCGCGGTGTACACTGTGACTTTATGTCCTTGGATCCAATATTCTCCTGTTTTTATATTAATTAATTTGCGTTTTGCCGACCTGTATATCTGTGAATACATTATGGTACTATTCTAACGTCGTTGTTATACCCACCTATACTTAGACCCCATTTCCATAGATTTTAGATCGATCTATCCCTGTGGGGAGTCTCACTTGATTTCTGTCAGATTAGCCGGCTTAAGCGTCTGTCCCGCCTATACTGAAAGCTGTAAGGCGGTGAGTAACTATGGTGCGCGCTCGGCTGACTGCAATGTAGCGTGGACCCCCAGGGAGTTAGGTCGATCTAAATCATAATCTCTGTGTCGATCTAAATCCCTGGGAATACACCCTTACTGTTTGTCATGGAGACTACATTGTGTATTTTAACGCATGCAGAGCGACATACCTTGAAAATGCAAAAATTGTTATTCCCTGGGCAGTCCAACCCTTTTCCCCAGTCTCACCGATTTTAAGGGACTAGTGAGCGAGGAGAAATTAGATAATTTTTGTATACGCAAAATTCAGAATAATGATCAGCAAAGTGATATTGCCATAGCGACGCCATTCTAAACTAAAGAGAAGGGGGGGGTAAAAAACTATAAAAGGGGTAAAACTTGGGGTGCTTTAAGCAATAGCGTCTACAAGACTTTTGAAAATAAACATATTTAAATAGAACTGTCAATTTTTTCCTTTAAGTGCTGTTTCTGTGGTGCCATGCCGGGTACATGTAATATACTGGTGCAGTCTTATTGTAGCCTGACCGCTGTCTCCAACTGAAGCAAATTAAAGTGTCTATTTGCTTATAATTATATACATGTATTTGCTGTCATATTAACCAGAGCAAGTGATTTTGCTTTAGGGATTTTACTAATTAGTATTTGTCGTGTCGAGCACAAGGGCAAGCTTCTGTTAGGTAATTCTCTTCGTAATGGCCAGACCTTCAAGTTGTCAGTCTCCCAAAATGCACTCGATGTGAAATGGGTCAAGAGACCGAAATTGTCATGTGACAGTGGTGAGGGACAGTAACACATAGCTTAATTACTCCTGTAACCGCCCATTAATGTTTTAACTACCCAAGATATTTGTGACATTTCCACGTCATCGCTAAATGCGGTGTGGTCATCACTATAAAGTTAAGTACTAGTATATCTATATATCTAATGAACTGGCACGTTTTGTTTACGAGCTGTGATCATACAGTCCGTATTTCCAGTTGATGAAACAGTGTACATATTCACTGTCAGCGACAATGGGAAAAAGAGATTCCTTGGCTACAACTGTTGACATATTTTAACCTGTATACCCTATGTACCCTGCACGTGTACTCATATAAAAGGTGATGCTTTAATACTGCCCAGGGTCCAGTATGTTGTCATTCACGAGTTCCTAAATGCAGTAATCACAGCATGGCCGATTGACCACCTCTATAATAACAATAATAATAATATTTATTCAACCTTTCCATATCCCTTATACAATTCCCATGAAACGGATATCGTTTTGCCTTCTCGGGTTAAAGAAAAATTAAATTAATAAATTAGGTTAAATAATACCGGCAGGTATAAGGAAAAATGTTAAGAGCTATTGTTAATATCATTACGTATTACTATTAAAATAGATAATCGCTTTTAAAAAAACGTTTGCTTCCTCTAAAAGTTTAAAGTTTACATTTGCTTGGGAGAAATTTAAAAAAAAGTTCGTTAGGAAGGTGAGTGTTATCATTAATAACCCTTTTGGGTTTTTGAAGCACCCTTTTCATACAAACACTTCTAAGAGAGAAGAGATCTAACCCCATGATTATTCTGCACGTCTCAATAAGCCCATCTAATTTGTTAATCACCTCCTCAGGGAATCGCCTATTCCATACTGTTATAACAGAGGCTAAAATAATTTCGATATGAAAATAAGATAAAACCAATCGGTTTCCAGTAAAATTGTTCAGTTTTCTTAGAAAAAGTAAACCTGTTGCCTCCCTTACTACAGCTGTTTGTTTCTGTGCTTACGCCATGATGTCAAGTTGATATAAAGATCGACCACAAGGAGTATATATGGTCCACTTGAGTAACTACAGTGTTTCTGATGTAAACAGGCTTCTTATCATTCTTATTCTTTCCAAATTCCTCTACGTTTTTTCCCAACATTTAGCATAAGGTTATTACCGTTACATCACTCTACCACTGATTCAATATTACGTCCGTACATGGTCTCGTTATCGCTTATAAGGTCTACTAAAGTAGCATCATCAGCAAACTGAATAAAAGATGCGTTTACGTAGTTTCTCACACAATCACGACATGTGAACAGGCTATACAAGCATGGTCATAATGATATCCAATAGCGCTTTACCTCCCGTACATAATGCTGAATAGAACACAGCCATATGTTAGCTAATTAAATAAATATAAATACAGTTACATACAAAGGTCCTTTATTATATATTAGAGAAAGACCCGCCCCATGTTGACTCCTGCATCATGAGCGAAGTTCTCGATACTGCCCAGGGACTTGTTTGTTATCATTCACGCGTTCCTAATTGCACCAACCAAAGCACGGCCGGTTGACCACCCGTTTATAACGCTGGATAAAGCCTCGTCATATGTTACCTTAAATAAATATAATTACAGCGACATACGGTGCGAGGGCCCTTTATGCGCGCATACCTTAAATCGGCATTAGGGGATTTAGATGCATGGAAAATTCCCAGGGGTGAAATCTACACGGGACACTTATAAGTTACATGTTAGTGAGTGTAAAGCTGGGTTTTGTGTTATGACACAGATGCGGCTAGATTTAAGAAACGTTCTCTTTATCATAACAGTGCCTTTTAAAAAATGTTTTTTTTTCTTCTTTTTTTTCTCTAAATAGCCCATATTAGGTGCGGAGACATGCGTAGCCCTCAGGCGCAATCCGTACATTTTCTCTCTACAATCTATTTTTCACAAAAAAAGTGGTGATTATTGGTGAAAGAAAAACATCTGACAGCGTCAACTATCCGCCTGTTGTTTCATGACTGTGTAGGTGAGAGACACGACGGGTGCGGTAACCTCAAGAGAACAATGGCCTCAGAAATGTCATCGTCACCCTCGAACGTCCCTGCCCCAGGAAGAATCGTTCCCGTTGAACCGAACGAGGTTGGTAAAGGGGGTCCAGACTTTCTACTTGATCGTTTTTCAAATCATTGATACATTTTGAACATTTTACTGAGAAAAGCAGAAACAGTATATTGCTGCGAAAGAGCCAATATACAATAGGCACAGATCTTTCGCATCTGAGAGTGAACGGGTGTCGTTCATCGAATAGATTCATATCGCTGGCTAAAGTGTGACCCCGCCCTTTTCTCACCCCTTAATCACAAGCAAATCGCATCACAAACACGGCAGAGAAATCGTGACTCGTTCACAATAGCATATTAGTATGAGAGCACTTACGTACACATGGCAGCGCAAATAAATGTTGTCTCGGACAGAGGCATTGGGTAGTCTGTGTCGAGAACTGACCAAGTGAAGACGGTATCAAAAACCATGCTTCGCCTGCTAGTCTTCTCGCTGACTTTGTGCGTCGTCCACGGGCAGCGGGATCTCCCACCCTTAACTGAAGCTGCTTTTAATCGAGTGAGAGGAATTCTGACCACCTTGATCAGGGACACTACAATCCAGGACACCAATGGCCAAACCATCCAGCCTCTGATAGCGTCCACTATCCGCCTGTCGTTTCACGACTGTGTTGGGGAGAGATGCGACGGGTGCATAAACCTTGCTAACCCCGAGAACAACGGCCTCAGAAATGTCATCGAGTCCCTCGAAGGTGTCTACGCCTCCGAAAACCTGGCCGGTGTCATCTCTCGTGCTGATTTCTGGGCGTTGGCCGGTATCGTCGGAGGCGAAGTGGGCTCTCTGAATCACCCAAACTGTCCGCGTTGCCCTGTGTCGCGGCCGAGGTTTCTCTGGGGAAGGACGGACTGCCCAACATCACCGACAACGACCGAGGTCCATACCTTCCCTAGCGGTCATGCCGGACTCCAGGCCACCCTGGGTTTCTTTGAGACGGACTTCAACATGACACCACGTGACATCGTCGCCCTACTCGGTGCTCACACGGTTGGCGCCGCCGCCCCGCAGAACTCAGGCTTCAGAGGGAGGTGGGTGCCTAACCGAGACGTGTTTGACAATGAGTACTACATCGCCCTGAGAGACCAGGCTTGGGCCCAGTTGAATGTAGATCCACCCGGTGCCGACGGCACTGGGCACTGGCAGTGGAATCCTCAACTGCCGGCCCCAGCCCCGCCACAACCGGCTCCCCAGCAACCACCTCCCCCTGGAGGCCGACTAAATGGAGGGCCCGGGCGAGGACGGGGTGGGCGCCCACGTGGTCTCGAACTCAATGACGGGTCAGGCAGCCAGACTGCTCTTCTCCGTGAAATCCTCGACAGACTTGTGGGTCGTCAGAAGCGCCAAGCACCGCCTCCTCCGTTCTTTATGTTGAACGCGGACATGTGCCTGTACCGCAATATCCAGCCCGACGCCGTGGGCCGCGTTACAGCCTGCTCCGCGAACGTTGATGACTGTGGGCTGGCCGGGACGGCCGAGATTGTGCTGGACTATGCACAAAACAACGGGCGATGGATCCGTGATTACGACCGAGCCTTTGAGAAGTTAATCCACAGAGGATACACTGAAGGGGCCTTGGGAGAAGTACGACCATAAGATCTCGCGAGAAACGGCGAGATATTTTGAATGTGACGTCAGACAGTTTGACCAGGTGATCCTACCGTCATGCATTGAAAGTAACTTTAACTTCGTGTTTATTTACCAAATTTTCTCAACAAGAGTGTAAAACTGTGATAATTATGATGCATAATATT